ATTTTTCAAAAGTCAGGAGTTTCGAAAGATAGCACGGTAAAAGCTAACGACGCGCAGTCTACATGACTCAACGTGCGAGATCCCGTTTAGTGATAAAACGAAATGGCAAGTAGACGGTAGAGTGGTAATCCGGTTAATCGATCGCATAGAGATAATCGATAATGTCGGCGATCCATTTTAGGTGGTCCAACAAGCGGCGCGTAATCTGTGGTAAATGATGCGAGTGTCAACAAGTACACGCTTAGACACTCAGCACATCTTTATCCATTATTAATTTGCAGGTGGCCGCTAACAAATAACTAATAAAAGATCTATCGGACTCGATAGCTTTTATCGCTCTTCTGAGAAATGAAGGCGACGTAGAAAAAGCATGGAAATATTTATTGTTATATAACATCAAAATTTTCGATATATTACAATTTATAATACAATTCGATAAAGCGCAACAGTGTTGTATAGAATTTTATCTTCATTGTTTTTGTGCATGAGAGATCCTTGAATTTATTATATAATCGTTATATTATTATTAATGAAGCATATTATTATTTAGACGAATTTTTATGATATATTTAACAGTATATTTTCTATCTTGCACCTTTTGTTTTTTTTTATCAAATTGCTTTCGTTCCGTTATTTTAATATCTTGAAAACTGGATTACTTACTCATCTTGAAAATAGTACAACAAATGTAATAATTTATATTTGTAATAATATAATAATATACACACTAAACAAAGATCATATTTTGTCAAATGATCGCAATGTCTAATAATATCTTTTTGTGCGAATTTTATGATTTCTAATTAAAGCAAACTGCGTGCCGACTATTTATTGGTCTTAAAACAGTTCTAAATAAAGTTACATCGTTGGTCCATCTGCAAGTCCTTTTTACCGCTCAATATTTCTTACTCAAGAAACTTACTGTTTGCGTCTATTTTGCACAAGGATTTTCAAATGCGATATACATGCGCAACGCGTCAGAAACGCGCGAGATGCGACCGTGCGAGCATAGCGGCCCGCGGCAGATCCTTTCCTACGATCGATCGTTAAAAGCTCGCGCTGTCTGCGAGATTCCCACAGGCGGCGAAGTGTGCCCCAGGGCCGCCTGTATGCATCAACCGCTGCATCCATATGGGGTTACGGCGGCCGCGGTCAATTTGCGTCTAGCAGCAGTCACGGGGTGCCCTTCGTTCTCTTCTGCCGAGCCGACGTCATAGCTGCCGCATAGAAATGTCGAGCGTGGTGAAGCGCGCGTAAAATAAGATGTAGCGTCACTGATAACAAGCGCCTGGGCTGCCGGCTACTGCTGCTGTTGCGAGGCGAGCGCAAGCCGAGAAGCAGAGAGCGAGCGAACGAGGGTTGTCCATGTTCGCGAGATTGGCCACGACGGGGCAAGAAGGGAAGAGTAGAACCGATCTGATAGTGGATCCGCCGCCACGTTCTTACGCCGCGTTGTAAGATCCGCTTGGATTGTAAAGCTACCGTCTTACGCTTCTCGACCCGCCCCCGATCCGCTACCGCCGGTACCCCCGGCTATCTCTCGTCGAACAGCGCGTCGAGCTTGTAAATTTGTGCTCGCCTCCCTTGATAAAGGTGCAGAAAAGCCGCCGTGCTTCTTTCGCTCATCCGCGGCGGCGAGACGCGAGATTAAAGCTATCCCACGAGCGAAAACGCGTCGGCAACGATGAGTTTTATATACCTAGATGCATCGCGATGTAAGTCGCCACGGGAATAATAGATGTTATTGCTGTCCCCGCAGTTTGAATGAAAAAAATATCGTAGGATATCGTAGAATGTAGAAAATGTAGTATAAGCTGATCTCATTTTATTCATTAATATTAAAAAATAAACTATGAGAAATATTGATAGTGTCAGATTTTTTAAATAAAATGTAATTTTTGAATATAATATTGAATTTTATTGACATAAAATAGATTTTAATATTCTCTCTAAAAGTGTATCAATCAGTGTATTATTACTAACTTTAGTGCTATACTTAAAGTCTTATAACTGACGTAATTATTAGCGAATATTTACTGTTTTTCAGTAATAATACACTGATTCTCACTTTTAGAGAGTTTGAAACTTTGAATTATATGTATAATCATTATTAAATTGAGAATTTTTTAATAAGTTGCACCTATCAACTTGGAAATTAGCACTTAAGTGTCTCTTCATAAAAGCAATGTGTTATGATAAGCAAAAAGTACGATTTTGATTTAAGATGGAATAATAAAAATAAAAAATAACCGGAATCAATCGGAGTTCTCACAGATTTATTTTATATTAATTACGACTAATTAGTAATTCTCTTCTTTGATAGTTTATAAGGATCCCAACTTCTGACGTCAGTAGCAAATTCGGTTGGACGCACTAGTGTACACTAATTCATATTAAAGTCGTTGTACACTGATTTAATCTGTGTAAAAATACAATGCAAATATTTCGAATTACAAAATACAGATTTTACTTAACAGTGCAATAAAAAATATATTGAGGATTTCATGGTTCAATCCATTTTTGTATTTACATTAAACATTAAACATATTTACGTTAATTTGTGTACGAAGATTTTAATGTGCAGCAGTGCATACTGAGTGCATCCAATCAAATTCGCTACAAATGTAGATACTGGCGGATAAATTAACGGAATCTCACAGACTTGAATTCAAGATCTCTCGTCTTCAATTCTAGCACTTAACATGCTACATCAACGATACTTAACTGTTCTCGTAATTATTCCGATCGTCTATACTTTAAGCAGCCCTACGGTTTTCTGTACTTTTCTACAAAGAGAATTAGTTAAATAGAATTAACGTTAACTAATGTCGGTGCAATCTAATCTTAAATGGGCCATTGACATCAATTGATTGCAATTTAGTTCAGCGAAAGTCGCACAATGTCACGAAAGGAAGCTGCTACCACACGGTCATCGAGTTAGCTACGAACTGAGAGAAACGTTCGAAAAAAACGTTCGACCAAGCGAAAAGTTCGCTGCATTCGAATCGCGCAATCGGTCGAGATGCGTGAAAACGGTTCTCTTCTTTCCATCAGCAGCCCGCGGGTTCCGTACTTTCTTTCTCTCCCCCTCTGATTCGATCGTGTCGATATTCGCCAGTCGTCGCACGTTTCTTCCATTACCGGCACGTCGTAAATAAACTGCGACGACACTGAGAAATTATCGTTTGCCATCTCAATGCTGATCAATGTCCGCGTGCGCTTCTTCCCTGCCGGCGCGGCGCCGTGAAAAGCCGCGTGCGTCGCCGATGTACAACGTCGAGATCCGCAAACAGTTTGATAGCGAACACGAGGCGAGCCGTTCGCTGAACAAATTGCGAATCATTGTAACGTTCATCATCTGTCGTATCAAAGTTTTCCACGGTTAGCCAAGCCGTAAGACTTTCCTGTGTTGAATTACACAAAAATGCAAGTTATCGAAAATATCACAGACGAAAGTATATTTTTATACCGGCATAGTTTAACTTTAATCTCAATTTTGATCTTCTTCTAGTTCTAAGAATGAAAAACACATAAAGAGTAAATTAAACCGAGATTAAAAAATTAAAATACATTGATACAAGGAGAAAAATATTTAGTTGAATTAGCTGGAATTCTGGTTAAATCTACTAAATTTCTGGTTATAAATTTACTAGAATTCCAATAGATTTAACCAGAATTTTAAATTATTCATTTTTCACTGGAATTACAGTTAATTCAACCAAACATTTTTCTTTATTTCTGTATAAATGGACATTTATAGGTGTAAACGAATGACTGATTAATCTTTCCAAAATCTGCAAAATAACGACAAAAATGGTACTTTAAAAGACGTTAAGGCTGTTCAATATATGAACACAAATGATGTATATTGATTTTGATTTCTTCGAAGTCCGTCTTCACATTGCGAGCAGCCTTGCTGCTTGGTTTGTCCGTATACGTGTTTACGAAGAACTTTCGCTTGCCGATAATTTAATTAACGAACGGTCGATATTCTCCGACGCGGCAGGAAATTCGAGATTGCAGAAATCGCTTATATCAGCCAGTTGGCGGGGCATGGTTCGTGAATCCCGCACGAGTATCTTCGAGAGAAAGAAATCTAAAGGGCAGGTGGGAAGCCGCTGCGATGGAGGTCGAAGGGTTGAGCCGGTGCGATGCGACCAGCGCTTTGAAACCGAAGAGAATATCCGGGGCCCCGATGTGTACCGCAAGAAACTCGCATTACACATACGAAGGGAAGGAAGAAGGAAGGAAGGGAATCGCAAGAAATTTTAATCGCGGCGGTGTAACCGCCCGATAATGAATACTGCGCAACTGGTTATGAATGGTTAAGCGTACCCCTGGTGCGATTTTTACGTAACTCCCGTGTAGACGCGTACTCGTGTACTTTATGATTATTAAGGGGCGTAGTTGCTTACCACTCGCGGAGAATGCCTCTCGGACTCGCCCCTCGCAACGTTTCCATGAAACGAGTGCCTCGCGAAACCTCAGAAAAATCCATCTGCGTGTGAATAACGTGAATCTCGCTTGTTAAAACAGGTTCAACGTTTGCACTATACTTTTGATCCTTTCGGACATTTTGAAGGAGATCAATGAAGGAGAAAAAAACCTGTAAAACATTAATTATATAAAAAATTGAGTTCGGTGAAATAAGTTAGATTTCATAGATAATGTAGCTTATAATATGGTGAGCAAAAGACATCACACATACAAGGCTCGATAATAGATGGTTTTTGAGCTATAATGTGCCAAAGATGTTTTTTTTTAGCTACAGTACCAAAGATGTGTGAACACAAATTTTACACCTTTAGTACATTACAACTCAAATATATATTTAGTATCATAATAATAGCTTTATTGATGTGCATACAATTTACAAGAAAACCAAGAAAGACAGAATATTATGGTAGCAAGCACAATCAAAAGGTGAGGTAACAACATAAAGCTGCATAGAAACCTAGACTTAACACTTAGAAAATAGATAAGCTACATCAAGATACGAGGGGGGACCCAAAAAAAACGGGAATTTCGTCATAACTTCTTTATTTCTCAATATTTTAACACCAAATTTTGATCACCTTCAAAGTATTCGCCATTGACCACAACGCACTTCTCCAAACGATTCTTCCATTGTTCAAAACAGTTTTTAAATTCACTCATCGGGATGTCCTTTAAGCCTTCCAGCGATTTTTGTTTCACCTCCTCCACAGTGGCAGATTCGATTGCAGAGGTGTTGTGCACGCGGAGTTCGTTCCCCCGGGTCAAACTGCCAACCAGAAGCTCTACTTGGAGGTTTTTGTTCCCCAGACTCAAAAGGAATATGAAAGGAAAGCGTTTTGCCACTGTGGAGGAGGTGAAACAAAAATCGCTGGAAGGCTTAAAGGACATCCCGATGAGTGAATTTAAAAACTGTTTTGAACAATGGAAGAATCGTTTGGAGAAGTGCGTTGTGGTCAATGGCGAATACTTTGAAGGTGATCAAAATTTGGTGTTAAAATATTGAGAAATAAAGAAGTTATGACGAAATTTCCGTTTTTTTTGGGTCCCCCCTCGTACATATTAAACAAATTTCAAAATTACAAATAAGAAAATTACGAGTATTTGTGTGACGTTAGTTACATTTGAAAAATACAATAATCATAAGTATCATGATTCCATTTATACTATAACTCTAGAATCATCCACTGTTGAGCTTTGTGTCTACACGACATCTTTTGTTCTCCGCATTATAAGTTACGTTATATATAAAAACTAACTTATTTTTCATCGGGATCCAATTTTCTACATAACTCATGCGGGGTCCTTCCGATGCAAAATTGCAATTCAATAATTAACCGAACTTCTTAGAGATTCTAAAAAATCGAGTAAACTAAAATAATCATTTATTCTTTTGTTATTCATAATCAGTTTCCGAATTCGCCAAACGGAAATTGCCCGTGTAACGCTTTCACTTTGTAAAGACCGATCGCAAACATACCGGCGCCTCGCATTCCATCCGCGGATATTCCTGTAGTTGTACGTTGCATATCGCGCATATAAATTCCGCTATGCGATTGATAGGAGTGCGAATATCCGCGCGGATTATTCGTGAGGAAGGCATGGAGAGGTTGCTGATCTATTGGCGCAGCGGCGTGGCAATATTTCGCCAGGATCCACATTCCGTGCCAGGTGGGCTACCGTCGCTATTAAATAAAGCGAGAAACGCGGCAAATGATAAATAGAGTGATTACCGACGAGGGACGGTACTACACCAGCCACCGCGTATGAAATTGTCCAATCATCATCAGTTGGTTTGTGCCTCGAGTAATTCTCTCTTTTTCGCTTTCTCTCTCTTTCTTTCTCTTTCTTTCTGGTTTTTCCGAGTGCTCGCGCTCGCGTAATAATCCACAGCTACGTTACGTGCATTTATCCGCTGCGGCGTAGAAAAATGCGGCTGTAACCAGACGAGGATCGTACATTTCTGAGATGATTGCGGCAAACGAAGTCAATGATTCGGCGGCCTATAATAATTCAAGATGAGTCGGAATTGCTTAATTTATAAGCTCATCGAAATTATTGTGCAACACGTAATCTTAATACTCGATCTACAATAATTTGCGACGAGACGATTGGCGGAAAGGCTATTTACACCTGGGCACATCCGAATGACCGCACTATCTTCTCCCGTGCTGCGGCTCAGCATCACGCAACTTGCTCCTTAGTCTTCTTGTTGCGGTTAGCGCAACCATCCAAGCGCATCGCGTATTATTTGTCGCAATTGCAGACTATTTAATCGGTTTATGAACACTTATGGGCGCTTGATCGGTGATAGTTTTTATGATGCATTCTGCCTCATATATCATAGGTCCGTATTTATTTTTGCATAAACCAATATGGTAACACTATTATATTCTTAAGAATTTATAAGAATGTATGTGTTTGATTGCTGATAAGGACTCCAAAGACAGGTGAAACGTTCAAGAATATTGAATAAAGAAGACACTGTATATCAAATGGAGTGACGTAAAAAACGAGAAAAGAAAGGGCTACGAGTCAAAAGTCTGCAGTCGTTAAAATTTACAAAGTTAGTAAATAAAACATATAAATTAGTTAAAATCTAAACTTTAATAACATGTGTCAGTTATAAACAAAAACAGACGTTTCGATCCTTATCGGATCATTATCAATGTTAGCGTATAATTAGTTAGAACGGAGAAACAGTTTTTAAAAAATAATGATTCGCTCTCATCGTAATTTATACGCTGTTATCAATTCTTCGATTTTTTATCTCAATCGTATAGGTAAAATGTGACTTGGAGATTATGAACGCATAACACTGATATCAATTATAAATTAGCAAATTAGTTCTGTTGATAATTACAATGTATAGGAATGAAGTAAATTTACTGATTTAACAATTCGCGCACCCCCTCCCACGCTGACTCTCGTTAGCCTTGAATGTCTTTGTTATTAACATTAAGTTTAAGTTTTATTAGTATATAGATACATACATATTAAAATCTGTTTTGTATTTAGTAAACTAATGAATTTGATGACCTACAAAGCGTTGGACAATACCATGATGATAGTTGGACAATTCAGATATATTTTTAACGCGTATTGAAGTATTGATAAGGATCTCAATCATAGGTCGAAACGTTTACGATGAATTACGATTAATATACATGTAATGATTTAATTCTTTAATTCACACAATAAATATCTTGTGATTGGCTCAAATAGGCTTATTAGGCTAATTATTATTAAGTCTTATTGTTATTTTATACAGTAGATATACTCTTGAGCTAGCTCCTGAACAACGTATACTGTGACAATGAAAGCGCACATTGGAATAATAAGCAAAAACGTGGTTTAATGGCCCGCGATAACAGCCACCGTGGGAGGGCTTGACGCTTGTTAAACACTCGATTGGATGTATCCACGCGAGTTTTGAAACGTAAACCGGAACAATTTGCACCGCGCCGGCATAATGAAGGAGGTCGCATGCGAGAGATCGTATTTATACACCCCGGGCACTATACGTCGCGCGTGCCAGCACTGCCAGCACGAAATGCAAGACGCCGTTGATGGAGATAGGCCGCATGCAAAACATCGTGTGGGATTTCACGGGATCTCTCGCGCGAATTCGTCTTGCTCGTTCAAACTCTACTCTGGACAGCCGTGAATCTCGTTACGAACGAAAACGAGGAAGCAATAATTACAGTTGCACGACGGTTCCTGTTCGACTTTAGTTAACAGTTCTCGCTTTAATTAATTAAACCTTCACACTTTCAGGAATGTTACACTTTCAGGAATGTGGCAATGCGAGAGATTGCAAAAATCTAATCTAATACCTAATGTCCTCTGATAAAAATTTCATACATTTTTTGAACAATTACTGAACATTTATTAACTTTTGTTTAGTAACTGAGAAATAAAACTTCTCAAGATTCCAATCAAGATGTAACGCATTGCCTGCAGTTACTGCTCAGAAACAATACGCAAAATCTGAATCCATTTATTGAACATAAATAAGATAATGAATGGATTACGCAATATTTTAACTAATAATAATCTACTATTACTGGACAATAAGTAGGCAGATATCTACGAAAATTACACATATTTTTATCAGGAAAACTGCTTCAGAGCTACCGAATAAAACTCTATCAAGTTCTTGTCCATTTCCTATACGGTAAGTAATGAGAATACAGTAACACTAGACAGTAATTGGATGGATAAAAAAAACTACATATATATTTCTAACAAGGTCGTGTGATTCTGTTTCTTCCTTTCGTTAAAATCGCACGTCCTAATAAAGCTGTAGTGATGTTCGAAGAAAAGTGAACGGAAAGAAAAAAATTTTTTCTGTAATTGAAAACGATATGTACAAGTATTGCGTGTCATTGAAACTGTAAATTTGCCTCGAAGACTTTACTCACGCTGGAATCCGATCGTTCGAACATATATCGAATTTCCCGAGTTTAACTGCAAAATTGTATCGAACGTGGAAGAATGTATTGAGAAATTGAAAACATATATTTATAACATATTTCTCATTTTACGAGGAACTTGATAAATTAATAAAACGTAAAAGTAAATTAGCTAAATCATAAAATCAAAACTCAACATATATCTCTATCATATTTCAGTTTAAGAAAGATATAACATTATTAAAATTCCACAAAATTAAAATAATTAAATATTAATAACCAAGCAAATGTATAGTTAATACGTAAATCGAAAACTCATTTCAAAGTTGAGATGTTTTTTATGTTAAAGAAAAAGAATACCTCAAAATAAAAATAGAATTAAGAGAATATATGATTGTATTGTGGAGATTAATATTTTTACGTTATTTCATTCGGATACGCGGCGTGCAAACAAATTGTCGTAGACACATCCGAGGTACGAAATATAAACGCAGGCGTGGATAGAGGATGGTCATCTTCGGTATAAACATTGGTCACCCGGTCGCGGAAATATTAACATTCTATGAGCGTGGTTATTGCTCGGAATGTCGATTACATAGTTCGTTAACTCCGACGCCATTAATATTAATATACTACACAATCTTAGGTATCGCCGGAAAACATCTTCATTACATGCATGCTTACGTCTCCGTGAGTCCGCGATTTAGCCGGGACTAGGCGCAATGGCAAAATCTTGTTAACGAAGAATCCTGAGATTCCGTTATTTCCATTTAAATTCCAGAAGCGCACCCTTAGTATGAACGTGTGTTTGCGCGCACGGGAAGATTTAATTACGCGAAATAAACGGCCATCCCAACTCTCGATTGCAAATAATAATTAAGCACGTCTCAAAATGTTTTAAAATTAGATATTAATGCACTACTGATTAATAACAGGCGAAACGATGAATTGTATATAACGATAATTTGTATGAATTTCCGCGATTATTAACGCATAAAAATTTATTTATTTTAGTTAATGCAAAAATATTATTTATTTTATTCTGCGGAAATAATCCTTTCAAAGGAATCGATTTTAATAATCATAGAAGATATTCTCTGGCACTTTATTTGAGAAATAGCAATAAAATGTAGGCGGAAATATTAAAAAATTTAGAAACTGTATATATCTTTTGCAAGATCGTCTCGTATTATTTTGCGATTTCATTGTTTTTTGTATGAATGAGGTCTGGCGTAAAAAAAATTTGTAAAACAAAAATAATTCGCTGCCGGGGATTGAATCCAGTAGACTTACCGCGATGCAGGTGCATCAGCGCCGTTAATCATAAGCCAGGGAGAGCAAAGAAGAAAAAGAGAGAGCGAAAGAACAACGGGATAAATGTACGTCGGTCCAAGATACGAACAGGAGGAGAGCCGGGATGGTAAGAAAGAAAGATAGAAAGAAACAGAGAGAGAGAGAGAGAGAGAAATCATACAAAAAAGATACGAGACGGAAAACCACGAAGGTAGAGTCAGCGTTTGCAATCGGATTGTGACGTGTACATCAGGCAGCTGTTTCCATAATTACAATCTCCTTAAGATCCGTATCGGTGCTAGAACGTGGTGGTAG